TTAAAAATAAGCTCTCCACTGAAACAGCATTATCAAAAGTCACTAGTCGGCTTAACAAAATAAACAGTAAGAGAATTTACAGCTATGGGTTCATAAGTAATAACCACAAGAACATATGTTGTTTTTCTAATGTAAGAAAAAATACATAAATATTCACACATACATACACACACACACATGAACACACACACATATAAATATATATATATATATATATATATATATATATATATATATATATATATATATATAATATATATATTCGGGCCCTGGCCAGGGCCTCCGCTCAAAAAAAAAAAAAAAAAATACAATCAATTCCCATCCAACTAAACCGAAAACAAGGGGCCGGCCACAGGGTGATATACTAACAACTTACTGTAAAACCATAAACCATAACCAGAGACCTACTTAAGTTCACTTTTTCTCAGCAACCACAAGGGGTTGGGGGGAGTTTTTGGGCGTGTTAGAAAGGTCTCGAGGTCCTGTGTGGCATATATATATGTATATATATATATATATATGTATATGATTCTATGATATATATATATATATATATATATATATGATTCTGTGGATATATATATATATATATACATGCATAATATATATATATATATATATATTATATATATTATATATACATATATACATATATATATATAAATATACATATATATACCTACATATACATATATATATATATATATATATACATATACATTATGCGTCACCGTGTGCCAAAAGAGTAGAGAGGACACTCCATTTGTGCTGATAATAACACGGACGGCGGTCTTGCGCCACGGGTCGTCGTTTCGAGTGGGAGGAGCATTCGTGCTCCACTGACTAACTACTGCCGCTCAAACTGGGCAGACCCCAGCCAAATAGGTGTTGGTCCATCGCAACCTGCCTGCTTCCTTGGGTGTAGGGAGCTTACAACAACATTGGACAAGCAGGTTGTAAATCAGCACACCAAGTGCAAAGAAAGTAACAATTAAAACTAAAGACGAAATTAAGCAGCAGGAACTACAGAACCATGCTGCCAGGACTAGAAGATAATCTCTCAAAGATCTCGGACATCAGAAAGACGGCAGTCATTGATGCTGAACTAGACCGCCTGAACGTAGATATAGCGGCAGTACAGGAAACCCGCTTACCATAAAATGGTATGCTACAAGAACAGAACTATACCTTCTTTTGGAAAGGCAAGAACAGCACGAACAGAAGGGAACATGGTGTTGGTTTTGCAGTTAGAACAGCTCTGCTGCCAACCATAGAACCACCTGCCGGAGGTATCGAACGTCTTTTCACATTGAAGCTAAATGCAAACTCAGGACCTATAACACTAATATCAGCGAATGCTCCCACCCTTACATCAGAGTCTTCATATGACCATTACAAGAAGGAAATGCCCAGCCTGCGTCAACAACACTTGCAGCTATCACAGTGCAAACTGCGATGCTGATCAGCCAAGCTGCATTGACCCCAAGAAAATCCATCAAAACAAACAAAAGGGCAAACCTAAGTTAAACAGCCAACATTAAGGACACTTCCGGGACTTAAATTTTTATATCATCTATAAGGGAATTTCCACCTGCAGATCCTGACACCACAGCCTCACAAAGATGGAACAGTTTTTACCAATGACACCCACACTGCAGCTTTTACATCTTTTGGAAAAAAAAAAGGAAGAGAATACAGACTGATACGAAGCTAATCTCCAGGAAATGGAAAAAGTTACAGTATTGAAGAGGAAAGCCCATCTCAGATGGCTAGAGGCTCCATCAGCGAAGAACTTCCAAGACCTGAAATGTTCCAAGGCAGAAGCTCAAAGAGCAGCTAGAAGTGCAAGCAAAATACTGGCAAGAACTAAGCTGTAGTATTGAAAAAGCAAATAAAATGATTATATTAGAAGGATGTATGAAGTAATTAAACAAGCCTCAGGACCTACAATTAAGAGAACGGTCCCACTCAAGGAAAAAATAGTACTGAGATAACGAAAAAAATGAACAAACGAAGAGATATGTAGAGCACTATCTAGAGCTCTACTCAAAACAAAATACTGTTTCAGACGAAGCTTTAATTCACTACCACAATTAGCAATTCTTGAAGAACTTGATGCTATGCCCACTTTTGACGAACTGGTTAAGGCAATTGTTGCGCTCCTGGTAGTGATAATATTCCACCAGATATCATAAAGGCAGGAAAACCAGCTTTGGTGAAACCACTACACGACCTCTTGTGTCAGTGTTGGAACGAAGGCGAAGTACCCCAGGATATGAGAGATGCAAAAATAATCACCCTATACAAGAACAAAGGTTCCAGAAGCGATTGTAACAACTATAGAGGAATATCACTTCTTAGTATAGTTGGAAAGGTGTTTGCAAAAGTTGCACTAGGCAGACTCCAACTACTGGCAAACCGCATCTACCCAGAATCACAATGTGGTTTTCGCGCTAAAAGATCAACCTTAGAAATGATATTTTCAGTTCATCAGCTTTAA